GACACTATTTCATGATTTGTTGGGGGAAGGGGTCTGCTAAGTCAGTTAAGATGTTCAAACATAAGACTAAGAGGATAGAAAGAGGAATTCATCAATAAACATACAGTTCAATAGAATGAGAATTGAGATTTTACTGTTTTAATATTAATAGATGCACCAAAGTAGGATAAAAAATTCCTTGTTTTGAGATTATAATGACAAAGATAAGATTAAAGGAACTGCATCTGGATGGTACTCATAATTGGTTTCTCTGGAGCAAAACGATAGAAATCTATTARGATAACAAATGCAAATAAGTGGACTTCTGCTTTTGTTTGACATGGCCGAACTGCTAGAGCTGAGATAACAAAGAAGATAAAAGAAATACTTGTTTCATGGTGCATTGCAGAATTAAACAAATCGGTTGAAGCTCCGTTACAGGAGAAGAAAAAAAAGTAACTTGGAATGCGGCTTAGGAAAAGCACTAGAGATAAACAAAAAAGGAAATAAAACAAATGACGCCATGAGATCATTATATCTGGTTCAACTCTGCCTGAAATGAGCTATTTGCACAAAATTTGCATAGAGACCCTCAGAGGTCACAACATTGAAAATAACTAGGAAAATGACACAATTTGACTACTCTAAGGCTGAAAATACCCCTGAAATGATGCCCTTAAGGCATCAGAATGTAGAGTTATCACACCCCCAATTTAACCATTGCTAGTCCCTTAGCAATGCAACCTTAAAATTAAACTGATCATAGAGATCCTTCCATCTCAAGATCATCCATAACAGAATTAGTCAAGCATTCTGATTCTAGAATTCTCAAACTCTGTATAGGTCAGTATTGAGTTTAAGGGGTCAAACTATCTTACTTTGAATATTACAGAAACTTGGTTTAAAATTCTTATATACTTTTCCATTTGCAAACTGTCTTGATAAGCTGAGATTGATTTTTAAAATCAAACATATATTTTTCTTATCATTTTTGACGGTGGATTTCTACCCCTGAACTTGATTTGCACACTTATTTCTATTGTTACCTTCCACCGTTTTATGTGAATGTCGACACTTGCCTTAGGTGAAGAGACTCGGTTACTAAGTGTTAGGTGATTGTCTTTGCCATTCCCTTTTCCATTTGATGCGAATCTCGACACTTGACTTAGGTGAAGAGACCCCGTTACTAAGTCTAGGGTGTCCATTGACCTTTTATTCTCTTTTTTTTTGGCAAACATTGTTCAGGGTAGTCCACTGTTTTTAACAATTTGAATAATTTTTGTCTAATTTCTCAATCTTTCTCTTCTTATCTTTACAAGGGCAAACTTGGGAGTATTTTCCAATTTCTAAATGGTTTCGACAATGTTCAAATAAGACCAATTTTGACTCCTATCACTTGCTACCAATTTCTACAAAATTCAATATTCTTTTATCAGTTTTCTCAACTTTTTCTGTTTGGGAATCTCTTTTAATGGAAAAAAATTAAATTTTTTAGTGAAATTTTAATTCTACATATTTAAATGCTTAGCTTCTCATTTTTTTTTTCATTTTTCTCTCTCTCTTTTCTCACCCCCAACTTAAATTCCATTATCCCCAATGGCATAACTAGACTGATGCAAAAAGGACTTGGGCCAAAGGGAACAATTAATAGGTTTTCCTGAGGGTGGTTCAAGGTCTACCAACTGGTCTCGAATCAAGAAAAGAAAAACTCTAATCCTAACATCAGAAACACTAAAACTACGTTGGGTTGCCTTCTAACTAGTGCTAAGTTTAATGTCTTCAACTGGACACATTCACACACTTTCTTCATCTAAACTCTCCGACTCACTTTCATCTTCCGACAAACAGGGTTCAGATTGGGCTAACCAAGGGGTAGGCAGGGCCTCTAAAAGATCGTCCACTATATCCACCTTGCACTCATCTTCCCCTAGGTTTGGATACTTAGAGGCACTAAAAACATTTAACCGGACTTTCTGCTCCCCTAATGAAATTTCCATTTCTCCTGATTTATAGTTTGTATTAGCCATTGCTAGAAATAGACATCTTAAGATTATCAGGATACGGTTCGGTTCCTCGGTTGGGGTCATGTTTATGATGATAAAATCAAATGGGAAATGACAACCCTCTACTGTGACAATGACGTCCTCAATAACATCTCAAGGAGTCTTGACTAACCAATCAGCGAGTTGCAGAATTACCAGGGTAGGTTTTAACTCACCGATCCTGTACCTATCATGAATAATGAACGGAAGCAGATTTATACTGGCCCCAAGATCCAATAGGGCCCGATCGAAGGTGATTCCAGAGATTACACAGCTTTTGAGAGGAGCACTGGGGTCTTTCATTTTTTGGGGAAGTTGGTTTAGGAGAGTTGCACTAACATCTGTCGAAAACATCATTTTTTGTGGGGGCGATCATGGCTCCATCGTTTGAGTACACAGCTCTTTCAAGAACTTGGCATAGGCCGGGATATATTGGATCGCGTAGAGGAGAGGGAAATTAATATGGACTTTCCAATTCTCCTCGTTGCGAGTCTCTTTGTTCTTTCGCACCAGCCCAACTGTGAGTGCAGTTGAAAAGGAAACTACGGGTTGGTTCACTATAGGCTCTTCTTCTGAATTTTCCTTTCCTTTTTCATCCCCCCCAACTTATGGTATCCTTGCTCATTTTTTTCTTCATTAACTCTCTTTTTCTTACATGGGCCCTTTAAAATCCTCTCACTCCTTAAGGTTGTAATAGCCTTGGTATTTTAAAGTTGAGGGTTCCTAGGAGGTGGTTGAATTTGCTGTGGAGGAAAACTCGGTGGTTGATTTCTAGGGTTTGCAACCGGTTGACTTGGTAGTTGCCTTACTCCTCTTCTTGCCTGGTTTTGGCTAGCTGTCCTATTTGGCTCTCTAATCTATCGATGGACTGTTGCTGATTTAGAATCAACTGCATGAATTGGTCATCTACTGTACGGGTCAGAGGAGGTTGTGGGTAACCTTGATAAGATTGGACTGGTTGGTTCCTATGATACATCTGTTGGAATTGGTTCTGCCCTTGTGGGCTCTGAAATTCCTGGGCCATGGAGTTAGATGGACGGTAGTGCTGTTGGGACTATGTGTAGGTTTGACATGGTTGAGTCCCAGGGTAATTATTGTACTCCTAGTGAGTTTGGGTTTTAGACCATTGAGAGTGCACATCTAGTAGGGGGTTTCTTGGACTTGGGCCCTATAAGTGAAGTTAGGCTGATTCCCCCTTTATAGGCGGCCATTTGGCCTTCTCTCTTTTTTGGGGGGGGGGGGGGGGGGGGGGGGGGGGGGGGGGAGTTCTGGTTCCCCCTTTTTCCTTTTTTCAGCAATAGAGGACTTTGTTTCTTTCAATGTTCCATGCTTGTCTGTTGTTTGTGACTTAGCTGTGTTGTGTTGTTTCTGGTTTATCTATTGCCTATTGTTGGGCGAGCTGATTTCCGGTGCTAGCGAGCTATTTGAATCCCCATTTTCGGCATAATACCGACGCAGGTTGTCTATGTTCCACGCCCAGGGAACCATTTTGCCTTCAAGTGTCTCAAGTTCGTATGCATTCCCACCAAAAATTTTAGAGACTCTATAGGGACTTTCCTAGTCCAGACCGAGCTTCCCTACTTCAGGCTCAGGCATCATGATTTTCCTGAGTATTAGGTTGCCAACTCTGAAGTTATGTTTTCTGACTTTAGCATTATAGTATCGCGCAACATGTTGTTGATATGCTGCAGTCCGAATGTGAGCGACTTCTCTACTTTCTTTTAATAGGTCGAGGTTAGCTCACAACTCTTCTTCGTTCTATTTTTCGATGTATACCTCATATCGCAAAGTTGCAATTTCTATTTCTGTTGGTATCACAGCTTCGATTCCATAGGTTAGGTTGAACGACGTTTCACCGGTTACTGTTTTTAGCAGTGGCCTTATAGGCCCATA